ACATAAGGCTATATAATAATAGGCCTATATAAATATATTCTTGTTCCGGTTTTTTTTTAATTGAAAAATAATAACTGAGTTAAGTATAGACAATAATTAATATTAATTCATTGAAAGGCCCATTCAGTTTTATTAGCTCAACATTCAGTATATCTTCAAATTATGAGTACTTATTTTTCACCATTTGTTTGCCTTCGATGTTGGTTACATTTTATGTTTATTTTTAGGAGTAGAGTTGGGATTTTGTCCAGTGTCATCCATATTCGTTAACACATAATTAGTCTAGATTACAGTGTTAGTTTAATTTCAATTAGGCCATTTTGCCAATCCTTGTATGAAGTCTTCCTCCAACACTTCCAAGTAATATTGACACTTAACTAAAAGCCAAAGCCATTATTTAAGTAGGCCTAATTGACCTTTAGATGAAGGTACGCTTAAAGCTGTGTCATTGTGGTGTTGTGCATTCTGGAAGGAAGCGGCACAATGGTTGGGCTAAAAAAGATGGGGACTTGTGTCCTTGGGAAATGCATCAATTTATGAACGTTGTCCATCTTCTCCCGTGAGTTTATAAGTAGATACCGTTCTATAGCTGCAACTAAGTTCCTCTCTAATGAATTGGTTGATCCATAGATTTTTGACCCAATAACCAAGTAATTATATGCAGTCTCTTCAGATGATGTGTTAAGCCTAATATTATTATTATTATTATTATTATTATTATTATTATCGTCATCATCATCATATCATTATCATTATCCTCATTATTATTATTAATTATTAATATTATTATTATTTATTATTTCTATTATTTTCTATCTATCTATTATATATATATAATAATAATAATAATAATAATAATAATAATAATAATAATAATAATAATAATAATAATAATAATAATAATAGTGTAGTTTTATATAGCGCACAAATCCATCTAATGTAAGATGCTCAGGGCGCTTGAAATGTGGACTAGGAACTCGATCAATGATATTATTATTATTTTTATTATTATTCAGCCTTATTATTGTTAATACGACGTCGACCAGAGTTATTCAGGTTTTAAACGACAATGATTGAAATGCTGCGTCTCTAACCTGACGCATAATCGTAGTTGGGCTACGTCCCTGAATACTTGTTAACAGTTACTCCAGATTGACTAGCCGGGTATCATACCTGAGTAGATATCCAGGTAGTTGTTGTGAAGAAATGTTAAATAAACTTCAATAATCCTTTATACCAGGGCTGGATTTATGGGGAGGGGGCTAGCCGGCCCCGTCCCCTTTTGGAAAGTTAAAAAAAAATGTAAAAAGGAAGAAGGAAAGAAAAAGAAATTATTGATCGACAAAAACAACTCAGAGGTAATTTTCGGGTGTCTGGAAAACAAAAATTTCTTCATAATGTTTCCCCTGGATCGCCACCCCACACCGCCCCCTTTCCCTCTCTCATTGGACATCTCTGAATCCGCTCTGTCTACAGTTGCTTAGTAATCATTTTATTGCCATTGTTATTGAGAGAAAGGAATTTCAAAGCATTATTAGATACGTACATTATTGTAATTATGATCACGATTATTATTAATATTTGTATCATTATCATTGTTGTTATAACATAATATTTATTAGTCCTATAATAGGCTATGTGAATATTTTATCATTATTGTTGAATAATATCATTGTTGTTGTTGTTGTTGTTGTTATTATTGTTATTGTTATTATTATTATTATTAATGTTTTATTATTATTGTTGCTAATAATTACAATACTTTTTGATCAAGAAATTTTCCCCTTAGTAGGGTGTACTTTGAAGATTATGTAAAACCATTAATATTAGCGAAATTCTGTAGTGTAGTAACGAGTATATTAAGTAAAAGGAATTAAATGCTTTAAGTAGCCATTTTAACTGTACTATATCTTAATGAGGGCGCTATACAACTTGTGATAGGTGTTAATAGCTAATAGTGCTCAGCAACTCCAACAACTTCAACTATCTATAACGAACGTATAACATCAGGCCTACAAAATAAAGAATGAAATAATTTACATTAAATGATGTTTGAAACTCTGAATAAAATCATCTTTAGCAAGAGAATGACAGGGACATTTGAAAGCTTTTTGTATTTGGCATGAAAAAGCGGAATTTTACATACAAATCTGACATTATATTATTAGGAACCACACCATTGACAAACAAACGAGTTCAGGTACAAATCGAGAAGTATAATCAAGAAACAAAATGAACTTTTAGCTAACAATTCAATTTATTAGCTTTGCTGTTATTTTTCACTGTTCCCTGCGTAGACCCTATACACAAAACAGATACCGAATAAGAAACGGTGCTCAAAATCAGAACATGATGTTATAATCGTATCAAGCCGCGGCCCTTGAACGAAAAGTTCCTTTTTCGGTTGTATGAACAAAACGTGTCTCTGCTGGCGGGATTCGAACCTGCAACCTCCCGCTATCAAGGCCAGTTTCCTACCAATCAGTGATGAAGCCATGGACCTGCCCGACGGAGAAGCTAAAGGCCCCGGCGGGGGGGGGGGTGCTAGTGGAGCGAATGGAATCTCACTTGGCTGGGGGGCCAGGGGTCCGCCACGTATATTTAATAATAATAATAATAAAAATAATAATAATAAACGGACATTTATAATGCGCCGGCATCCGTCGCAGACGCTCATGGCGCATTGACATGCCTGAGATATAGCCCAAGATTAATAAAAATTAAAATAAAAACTTAAATCAGAAACGCAAAACCAAAAATAATAGTGACAATTGGCACAGTAAAAACCGAAAGGTGACCAGAATGGGACTCCACCATCTAATATCGAAACAGCGTACTGCCTAACGTGTGCACGCAGGCACACGTTAGGCAGTACGCTGGGCTCCGGTACCTTCCACCTTGGGATAAGCCCTTAGCTCCACTACCGTGCACTGCAAAGACAGCGACGTGTCTCGAAAGAGAAAGAGAGCCCCACACTGGCCACCAATGAAGAGTCCGAAGACGACACGAAAGCACCAAATGGACAAAAGACTAAGAGATGAAAAGATGCTTTTTTAGTGCCTTTTTAAAGCAATCGAGAGATAAGGACATCTTGATAGGGTCAGGTAAATGGTTCCATAAATCAGGTGCTGCCGACACAAATGCGCGTGTACCCCAAGATCTCTTTTGCACCTCTTGACTAGTCGCAAAGAATCATTCGATCGAAGAGAGTCCCTGCCAGGGATGTATGGAGGTATTAAATTGAACAAGTAGATTGGTGCCTTACCAATTGAACTGCGATAGTCAAGGAGGAGAATTTTAAATGCAATACGCTCTGGTAGCCAATGTAAAGATTTTAGCATAGGTGTGATATGGTTCGTTTTCTTCGAACGCGTAACTATTCTGGCAGCATGCAATATTCTGTGTGCGAGTCAATTTATGTATCAGTAAGTCAGGTAGACCATATAATAATGAATTACAATGATCGAGTCGTGAGGAGAAAATGAATAAATAAGTTGTTCAGTTGCATTGAATGTCAAGCAATCTCTTATGCGTCCGACCTCAAGTGAAACATACTGTTTTTGCATAGAGTAGAGATACGTGGTCATCGAAGCGCATCTGATAATCGAAAATAGCCTCTAGATTTCTAACTTGCAATACATCTTGAATAATAGCATTGCCACTGCACAACTTGCGACGAATTTAAATGGCGAATCTTTATTGCTTATTTTTGATAGGCATCGAGTTACTATAATGTGACTTCATGCAGGCTATGTTTTCTAATGTCGAAACAGCTTCCAAAACCAAAATATTTTGAATAAGACAAGAAACGATGAGTATGCAATGTAACCATCTAATTTACAATTTTAAAATCCTCATTCTTGAAAGTGAAATTCTACATTTTGGAAATAATAATAATAATAATAATAATAATAATAATAATAATAATATTATTATTATTATCATCATCATTATTATTATTATTAGTAATTATTATTATTATTATTGTTGTTGTTGTTGTTGTTGTTGTTGTTGTTGTTGTTGTGATGAAAAGTTAACACAAATAGTTTAATGAAAACAATATGGTGGCTAAATGAACATGTAAATATTTTTTTATTTGTTCATTCCCCGACAACATTTACTCGTCCTTCCCGACGTGGGGGCTATGCTTCCCCGACGGGGGCTATAGCTCCTCACCACTGCTACCAATAAACCACAGAGACCCATAGATATACCCGTAGATCTAACCCCCAGGCACTCTTCCTCATATAACTGACTGAAACGCTCACACATAATAATAAAAAATAATGAAGATGATG